AAATTTACTCACTATACCTGTGCAGATGACTCCTGCGTCCTCATCATGACTGCAGTTATGTGGGCCCCATCCCCAGGAAGGACACTTCCACACATGGGATTCTTTTCCTGTGCAATTCAAGCCACCCAGCCAAATGGGTCCTGATCCAGATCCGAAGAAATTACCAGGTATATAATAGAAGGCCAGTCCACAGCCCAGCTGCCTGCAGACCACATGAGCCACATTCCATTTGTTATCACAGATGGTGCCCCAGGAGCCCTGGTAAAGGATCTCCACTCTTCCAGCACAGCGATTATTCCCATCTCTAAGACGGACCTGAGGACTGTCTAAAGAGAAGCAATCATGTGAGTAGTTACTTTTATACAGAGAATGAAAACTAACCCTAACACTACACAATTAAGATTGGGCTTTACTACTATCCTAGGCACCTCTCAACATGATCAAGTGAACAATCAAGAATAAAGTAACAGCTGGATGTGTCAATGCATGCTTGTAATCCCAACATTTGGAAAGATAAGGCAATAGGATCTTGTGTTTATTTTTTTTTTCATTTGTTTGTTGGGGGTTTTTGGGAAGTTGTTTTGTTTTGTTTTGTTGTGTTGTGTTGTGTTGTGTTTGAGAGAGGATCTCACTGTGTAGTTCAGTGGGCTTAAACTCACTGAGAGCAGGCTGGCCTAGAACTCCTGGAAATCCTCTTGCCTCAGCTTCTTTCATTTTTTTCTTGGCAGAACCAGGGATTGAACTCAGGCCGTTGGGCTTGCCAGGGGAGTGCTTATTCCACTGGGCCATCTCTCTGGACCTAACTTTAGCTTCTCGAACGCTGAAATTAGAACTTATACTTTCTACATACCAGCTACATTTTGTATTTAGGGCTTATGTATGCTACACACTAAGAATATGTCCCACAAATTAATGAAAAAAATAGTAACTAAAAAGCCATTTATCATCAATTTAAAAACTAAGCATGTCTCTTTAAACCATAAAATCTCAAAGCAAAACAAAAAACTATCATCTCCAAATGCCAAAAATAATGAAAAATTCTATCTAGCGTGATGTACCTCTTCTATATATGAAAAAATCACACTAATTACTTCCTACCAACCCCCAATATCCTGAAAGTCTCAAAAGTCCAAGACTAAACTTTCCTCTGAGAATCAAGTCAAACTCTTATCCATGAAACCCTGAAAACTCAAAAAGGAAGTTGCACTCTATAAGAAAACATGACATAAGAGTAACTTTTCCATTCCAAAAGGAATGCACGGATATGTAGGTAAGGATCGAAAAGACACTCAGAAATTAGATGGACAGATAGTAAGACCTGCAGCTCAGTGTCTTGAAGACAGGGAACCTGCTGATATTCCAGAGGGCTTGGGCACCACCACCTCTATGGCCTTGCAGGTTGTAAGCCACGTGGCTTCTCTTCAGTTAGGGCTCTGCTAGGTGACATCAACCTTCTTCAGCTGATTTTCATGTTCCTGGAATATTGAAATTCCTGGAGTCTTCATTCCAATTTTGGCTTTTTCCCCAGTTCTATGCTTCACACACTTGGGGTCTGATATCAGCTAGTATGAACTTCTTACACAATACCTGACCTCCCATGCCTTCCTTTGAAAAATGATTAGACCTCTTGCTTTTTACATACCTGAAAAGCCAGAGAACACCAAGGAGGACACCAATGTACCTAGACAATGATAACTGTAATCCACCTTAGACAATAGCTATAATAGCCTTTGTGTGTCCATCTTTAGAAACATTCACTAGTGAGGCCTTAGTGAATATAATTATCAAATTAAAGGCTTTCATTTATCCACATTTGAGCTTTATAGGGTGGTATCTTCTTTAATCTCCAAAAGCCTTCAAGACACTTAGTTTCTTACCCAATAAAAAACAATATGCTAAGTTTCCTTTTAATGGGGCTAATGTCTTCAGTAATAACATTACCATTACATGTGTTTGTTTTCTGGACAAGCTCCAAGTTTTTCAAATATATTTGCTCTACTTTTAGTTGTGATTCTCATATTATATGAGCCTCACAACAGCTTGTAATATGCCTGACACATGTGCAATGAAATTTCCATGACCAAATTAATTCAGTCTACTATTAGATTCTGCAATTACTCTTCAATTCAGACTTGTACAATGTTAAGGGAATGTGAAATATGTAAACAATTTCTTCAACACACTTTAGTATGTATAGCCTCTAATCCAATTATCAATAAAATCTTCTTTAATCTAAACAAATTGCCAAAAAGTATAATAAAAATTATTCAACATATTTTGCTTTAGGGAAAATGCAAGCCAAAGCTACATTGAGATTCTGTCTCATTCCAGTCAAAATTTCTATCATCAAGAATACAAAATAGGGGCTGGGGTGATAGCTCAGTAGAACAAGTGCTTGCCTGGCAAGTGCAAGAGCCTGAGTTCAATCCTTAGTTCTGAAAAAGAAAAAAAAGAATACAAAATAAATAATAAAATTATAACAACAATAAATTCTGGAGATCATGTGAGGAAATAAAAACCCACACTTTTGGTGGAAATGTAAGCTACTTCAGCCTGTATGTAATTACTATGTTTAAAAAAAAAACCTAGCAACACAGATACCACTTGACATAACTATATCACTAATTTGTATATTCCCCAAAGTGTTATGGACAGTGTACCATATTCATGTACACATATACATACTTAATACATCATAATTAAATCAGAAATAAAGCCCTGATACCTGTTAAGAAAAGAGTAATTTTTTAAGCATGTTATATACACATTCTAATATTAGAGAAGGAGGAAGTCATATCATTTGCAGGGAAATCAATAGAATTAAAATAAGATATTTCCATGACAAAGAACAACTGTGAAAAATTCATGACAACCAAAAAAGCTCTACAGAATGCACTGAAGAATATATTAGAAAAGATAAAGACCACAAACACCAATAGAAAGAAGCCACTAGGCAGGGCAAGTAAAATTAAACGGAAAAGAAAGAGAATAAAACAACAACTGCAAAAATAGCATTAAAGGGGCCGGGGAGATGGCTCAGTGGAATAAGCACTTCCCTGGCAAGCACAAGGGCCCAAGTTCAATCCCTGATTTTGAAAAAAAAATTGAAAAAGATAGGCTGATACATACCTCTGGTGTTACATATCTCTGATAACTAGCAATGTAAATGATCTAAATCCATCAATCAGAAGAAACAGACTGGCAGAATGAATCAATAAATTAGACCCACCAATATGCTATATTCAAGAAATGCATTTAAACTGAAAAGAAATTCATAGACTAAAAGTCAAAAGATGAAAAAACATTATCCATTCCATGAGAGCCCAGCAAAAAGTAGGGATAGCTAATCTATTGCAGACAATGTAAACTTTAAAAACTGATCAAAAGAGACAAGGACTGTCACCACACTTGTTAAGTGAAAACTCCAATAAGAAGAGATAATAGTCATAAATATGTATGCACTGAACACCAGCACACACAACTACATAAAACAAATATTAGCAGACATAAAAAATAAAATAGGCACTAACACAACTCTAGCGGGTGACTTTAGTACCCACTCTCACAAACAGATCACCAGACCAAAGAGATAAAAAGAGGTATCATAATTAAACCAAACACATGGACAAATGGCCTGGATAAATGTCTGCAAAGTACTCTACCTCAAAACATCAAAATACACATTTGTCTTAGCTGCACATGGAATATTTCCCAAAATAGACCACAATTTAGCCCAGGACATATGTTTCAGTAAATGTAGAGGAACTGTAATCATCCCATACATACTATCTAATCATAGGGTAATGAAATTGAAAATCAAGGACAAAAATTACATAAATACATGGAAATCAAGCAACCCATGTTTAAACAACCAATGGGTCACACAGGAAATTAAAGATGAAATAAAACAATGTACACAAGTAAACAATAATGCTGGTACAACATCTCAAAACATGAGACACAATGAAATCAGTCCTAGGAGGTAAATTTACAATTATGAACTCTTACATTAGTAGACCAGAATGAACTCAAATAAGCAACATAAAATTGAACCTCAAACTTCTAGAAAAATAATAACAAATCAAATAAAAAACTCACAAAAGGGAGTGAATTATGAAGATATGAGTAGAAAATAATGCAACTGAGACTAAAAAAATACAAAAAGTCAGTGAATCCAAGAGTTACTTATTTGAAAAAGAAAAGAAATTATGAAATTGATACATCATTAGCGAACATCACCAAAAACAGGAAGGAAGAAAAACAAACTCAAGAAATTAGAAATGAATGGGCTGGTGAGATAGCTCATGCACAAAAGCGTCTGCTTAGGCAAACTTAGGCAAATGTAGGGACCAGGGTACAATCCCCAGCACCACATGCTGTGCAGGCCTGCCCCCAGGGTAGGGTGAGCCTGGTACACTCATAAAAAAGGAGAAATTAGGAATGAAAAAGGGATAATCATGTTGTATTATAGAAATCTATAAGATCATCAGTGCCTACTATGAGAATCTATATTCTAATAAAATTGCACACACAAGAAATGGACAAATTCCTAGATACAATCGAATTGTTAAAACAAAATTAAGATGATATAAAAATTCTAAATAACCTGATATTAGATAAAGAAATTAAAGCAATACCAATGAAATAATGTAGGCCTAACTGTTCACCATTGAAAT